CCCTGGCTTTGTCCAGCTTCCGGTGCTCCGTGGCCTGTGGCAGCACAACTCCAGTCTCCGCTCCTGTCCTCAGGTGGTCTTCATCCCTGGGTGTCTCTGACCCTCTCTCCTTTCGCTTCTAAGGACACCAGCCATTCAATTTAGAGTCCATCTAAGTCCAGGATGATCTCATCTCAAGATAATTTGCTTAATTACAGCTGTAAAGACCCCCGTTTTCAAATATTGTCACATTCAAAGGTTAGGAATTAGATATATTTTTTTCGAGAAACATTGTGTAAGTAACACGCTACAGAATGTAGAAATAAGGTCTTTTTTTTTTTTTTTCTAGGACCTTAGGGGCATTTGGGGGGAAAATTCCTACCAGCAGAGCGGAGTGGTAAATGTTTTGTTACCAAGATACACATGAGGAGAGCAGCCAAGGCCCTTATGAGCAGAGTTGGTGGAATTGAGGATCTGAGGGTCCTGAGCTGATTTGGGGAAGAAGAAGAAAGAAAACTGTGAAGGGGATAAGGGGGAGGAAGTGAGGGAGTTTGGGAGTGGGGAATCCCCACCTGCCCATGGGTTTGGAGAGACCACTGTCCAGGTATCATGCTTTGCAGTTGGCCTTGCCAGAATGTGAAGGGCAAGTGTCCAGTGCCCAGAGTGGTCAGAGGGGAGGCTGTAGGGGCAAAGTCAAGAACAGACAGTCTCCCAGGATTCAGCTTTTAGCTTTTAGATGTGGCAGAGTGTTTTAACCTGAGCCATGATATGATTGGGGGCAGGACAGTTAATTGATGGGCATTGAGAGAATGACAGAGTTTTTTTTTCTTTTTTTGTCCGGGGCTGGGTTTGAACCTACTACGTCCGGCATATGGGGCTGGTACCCTACTCCTTTGAGCCACAGGCACTGCCCATCAGAGGTTTTTTTCTTTTCATAATGAATAAGGCTATTTCTGTTTAGTGGATGAATGGCCCTCTGTGGCCCACTAGGGGAGCCCTGCTCAGGGCCTGCGTCTCCACACCTGAGCAGGCCAGGCCAGGTTCAGAGTCTGAGTCACCCTGGACTGGCTCCTAGGTAGACATGCAGCGTGAGGGCCCACACTGACTGGACTTCACACCATAGCCTAAATCTGAGACCCTTCACCTGTCTGACACTCTTTGCTATAGTTGGGGTTACCCAGAAGTCTAGCAGAAATCTGTGGCCTGACTCCATTTGTTCCCAGTATGTCTTGTGAACTTTTGATTTGAAATATTAAATTGCATCTCTTATTTTAGCATATAAATTGAACAAAAATTTACCTGCATTTACTATTTTTGATGGAAATAGGAGTCATGTTCCTATGCTTTATATGAAATGTTGCTCAATATTTTTTAAGTTTTATACGTTCTGAGGACTTCATCGATAAAAACTTTTACAAACTTAGCTCTTGCAGTTCCAAACGTGTCTTTCTTATGATGTTACATGGAGGTTGCAGGCAAAGAAAAGAAATTATTTGTGATTTCTCAAAGGACTTCCAGTGTTTTCTCCAACACACTCAAATAGGGCAGGAGTTGTGTTTCTTGCTTTATAAACTATTATGTTTGTTTGCAGCCAAAGAACTGATAATTATTTGGACAAGAATGCTTGAATTGTTCACAAAGCTACTTGGGGAGAGGGGATTTGTACAATAGGAAGCAGGCATTTTAGGGAACAATTAAAGAATGTCTGTAATTAAGTAATAAATCCTGTGTTGCAGGTGGTTTCAATGCTTTAGGGAGCCTGGAAAGGGTAGAGATTAGTGTGGCTGTGAAGTCTTTGGAAGGTTTTTATTTTCCTGGAGAAGTTAGGACTTGAGCATGGCCTGAAGGAAGGGAAAGATTGGGCTGAGTTGGGGAAGAGGGACGTTGGGGGGAAGGTTAGGGAATGGTCACTGGCCCTGGTGATGTGGAGAGAGCTTCCAGAGCCCTTGGCCTGGACGTGGCATTTCAAACCCAGGCCTGGTTGTGGTCAGGTAGGGGAGAATGTGCTTGTGGGAGGAGGAGGCCCAGGCAGCGCCAGCCTGGGGCACAGTGGAGCCTGGAGAGGAGGTGAGAAGGAGCTGCTGAGAGGCTAGGAGAGCAGCGGGGGCGAGTGGTGGTGGAATCTGGTCCTGGAAGCCGAGGGAAGTGGACATGTCAAGACAGGAATGGTTGTGCCAGTCGAGAGGTGTGGAGAGATCAGTAGAGAGAGACCCATGAGTGGACATCACGCTGCGTTTGACGGCCTGGAGTTCTGTCTGCTCCCTGAGCAGTATCCAAGCACCAGATGTGAAAGAAGTCAGCTTGGGTGGCTTGAAGGGGGAGAGTGGCAGATGGAAGCTCAGGTGGGGATTTGGCTTTTGGAGGCATCAGGGAAGGTCCAGCCCCACCTGGTCTTTGGGCATCATGGCAGGCAGGAGGGCAGCAGGGTGCAGGGGCAGGAAGAGGGAGTTCTGGCCCCATCGCCTCTAACTTCCCAAAGGCAGCTGGGTGGGGCAGGGAAGGAAGGGGCCAGGAGGCAGGTGGAAGAGAAGGGAGTTGTTCCTTTTGGAAAGTGAACTTGGGGAGTGCAGAAAAGTCGCGAGGGTGGAGCTGTGTCCATTTTGGCCTTGTGGTCAGATTTAAGCGCAGCCGGGAGATGGGAATTCTTGGTGTATGTAGCCAGGTTGCTTCTTTGCCAGGTGAGTGCTGCTGAGGGAGAGAGGAGCAGAGTGATTTTAATGAGTGAACCAGCATGCTCCTGTGGCCTGAATTCCTACCAGCAGAGCTGCTGAATTCCTACCTTTACAATTCAAGGGTAAAGTTGTCATCTTTCTTTTTTTTTTTATTTTTTTTATTGAA